TGAAATTGGAGCCTTGACATGCGCAGAAGGACTGTCTGATGGAGCCAGAGGAGGAGCTGCGAAAATGAGCGGAGTCGAGCTTCCAACCAAACGCTTTATGTAAAATCAACCACGCCCCCCGAACTTCTCAGCATGCGTTTGCTGTCTTATCAACACAAATGGATGTAATAACGTTAACAAATATGAGGGTTTTATATATTCAATCGCACCAGCTCCGGTCCGCAGCGCATAACCTACTCGCGGCGTCGCGGGCTGATTCCGGCTCGCATGCGGCAGCGCCGGCTTGCTCGGATGCCGCAACTGGCTCGATTGACTCGGGCTGGAATCAGGCAGTGAGTCCAGGCATCCGGAGTAAGTCCAGCAGAGGTAGTCAGTCTGAGCTCTGAGGGGTAAGTCTTCGGCTGGAATCTAGCTGGAACTGGCCCTAGTGTATTTTGCTATCTGGGTGGCTAGGCGTACATGTATCAGCAAACTAATAAAGCCCGAAAAAAGCCCTGACCTTAGCGAATAAACAGTCTTCCACCAGGATCATGTATGTCAGAAACTGTAGTTTACTACTGAACTCATTTTGTCATGGTAAAATAACACAGAAATCGAATAATAACACTTCAGTCTCCTGCCGAAGCTCAGATGCGCTGCTTTGAGAAACTGTCAATCACAGCTGTCAATCACGATGACACGCCCAGCATTAAATTACTTAATTTTTTTATTTGGGCTCAAGTCTCCTTCATTAACACAGAGGAGGCGGGCTTTATGACTTGTACTGCAGCCAGCCCCCAGGGGGCGATCTAACGGCCGAGACCTTCACTCAAACGCAGGCTTGCGGCACACTTGCACTGATATTATGAATGTTCTAATCCTACAGTATCTAATGTACAGGTTCAGCATTACAGGAAAAGTTTTATTGTAGTATATATAGGGATAAGGTTCACAAAATATATATTTTGTACACAGCTAAACATTTTTATCCAACTGTTCTGAAGTTTTCTCATGTTTATAAATGGAAGTAAAAGAGACCCTAAATCTATTATAACAGCTCATAGTTTAGTCAACATTTTGTATAGATATATGTCATAAAACAAAACACTAGACTTACTTTAACTCAAAAGCTTCTATTTTTAACATGAACAGGGGATAGAAATCATAAAAGTAACCTCACTGCATCCTAAAATCTCTCTACATCCAACAGAAACAGTTGTTACTGAGCATTCACTATAGTTTAAAAGAATTCAGGTCGTATCGTGTCCATTATTTTAAATCACTAATACCTGAGGCTACTAATGAACTCAGCTCATTCTCAATGGCTGTTCTACTACAACTTCTCCAGCAGATTTTATATAGCTCTGGAGCCAATTTCAAAGCAATGAATGGAAAGCAATAAGTAGAGAGACCCTTTCTGTTCCTGTCAGTTAGACTGTAGTCCTTTGATATGTGTCAGAACATTCCACTTTCAAAAAGGTCAGGACACAAGAGGAATGCTAAACTTTCCTTCCTTAAAGATGAAATACAGTTTTTTAATTATTGATAAATGCCCTCCAGACACAGTGCTTTGAATAATGCACCTCCACATTAAGGCTTTGTTCTAACACACTAACTAGGGCTAAAAAATATAATGTTGTTGTCCATTGTTGTAAAAGGGGACAAAATGAATGAATAAGGGGGTGTTATGATGTGTCATTTGGGTCCTGTGCTATACCCCAAGTATACCACATATTTATCACTTTACAAATCATAGTGCTATTATTAATGAAAGTCCATATGCTGAACTTGTTTTACTCTATTTTATATTCTGAAACCAAATTTATTGTCTAAATAGCATGCTAGCTTGCTGCTCAGAGTGAAATAAGAACTGCATTTTTGTAATGGTAACATATTCATTCATTTTCTTTTCGGTTTAGTCCCTTTATTAATTTGGGATTGCCACAGCAGAATGAACCACCAATTTATTCAGCATATGTTTTACGCAGAGGATGCCCTTCCAGCTGAAACCACTCACTGAAAAATAGATGCAGGTTTTTGGATTTGTCGGGGAAACCGGAGCACCCAGAGGAAATGGTAACGTGTTATATATTTTCTACTAGCAGAAGTACCAGTAAACAAAACAAAACAAAAATTATTATACAGAGAATGATTTTTGAAGAACTAAACAAGTCCTTATATGATTACAAAAAATGTTTTTCCATTTTGTTTTATGAAGGAATGTCTAAAATAAAGGTGAAGTTTGTAATTGCGTTGAAACCAAATGGAACAGTTTTTGTTTTTAATTATTCATCATTCTGGAAATGAGAGATCAAGTCTAGATCAAGAAATATCAATACTACATGCTACTGAAATAGAAAGGAATATAATGTTTGTATGATTATCTGAAGGAATTCTGAATATTGGAATGGAGTTATCAATTTACAAGTTTAATTAAGTTGCTATATCACTATTTCCTGTGGTTTCACCAAAGCCTGAAAGACTAAGGCCCTGTTCTTCCATTTGGCATCAAATGCCCCCATCATATATTTTATATTTGACTGAGTATTCAATACAGCACACAAAATGAAATCATGCTTAATGTAGCTGAAAAAACACACACTTCAATCATGTGGGCTTTGCTCTGAACAACAGAGGTTTGAAGTTCTGCTCTTTCAACTAACTTAATACAATTATTTTGGCACTGGAAATTGAATAAGAAACAAGGTTACTGTACATTTCACACAATAAAACATGTAACAGCGTATCCTTTCTGTTATTTTGATAAACATTTAAGTGTAAAAGCAAATGTATGAAGGGGTGGGGTTTATGCAAAGTAAATAATTGGATATATCTTCTTCTTTTTTGTCTTTCCCAAAAAATGCAAACCACATGTTTCATTGGCATGACTACAAAACTTTGCAAATATTTGCAAAATGTTTTTTTTTATTATTATTACATCTAATTACAGTAGGTTGTGTTCCTCCAGAGATACTCAATACTGAATAAATAAAAGAATAAAATAAAATAAATAAAAGCATCAATCATTTTCTTGTCGGCTTTGTCCCTTTATTAATCCGGGGTCACCACTAAATAAAAGCATTACAATCTCTAATTGTCGATTCATTCATTAATTTTCTTTTCAGCTTAATCCCTTTATTAATCAGGGGTTGGCACAGTGTAATGAACCACCAACTTATCCAGCATATGTTTTACACAGCGGATGCCCTTCCAGCTGTAACTCAACACTGGGAAACACCTATACAGTATTGCATACACACACACACTATGAACAATTTAGCTTATTTAAATCACCTATAATGCATGTCTTTGGACTGTGGGGGAAAACGGAACACCTGGAGGAAACCCTCGCGAACATGAGTGAACATGCAAACTCCACACAGAAACGCCAACTGGCCCGAGGCTCGAACCAGTGACCTTCTTCACAAGGTCCTCTAATTGTCACTGCTCTTCTAATTGTCAAAATAAACAAAACTGATAATGATGGCAGCAGACATTTTGTCATGTTTTGTTGGATTTTGAATGAACATAGCCTATTCTTTTCTCCTCATCTAATTGCAACACAGTAAAAAAAAACAAATACTGGTTGCCTTAAATTTTTAAGCTGAATCAAATTAACCTTATGAGTCCTTTGAACTTATATTATGTTAAACTGCATAAAAAGCATAACCTATACAGTTAAGTTAGAACATGATTAAGTTCATTTAATAAAGTACAATGAACTAAAAACATATGTGGTAAGCTAAAAACACATGCTCTATAAACTATGAACTAGAAGATCTTCATATATTTTTTGCAGTGCAGTACAGTCTTGTTTTTTATGACTGACAACTGCAATAAAAAACTGCACACTATAGCACTTTATCTGTATTTTTTTAAAATAGAATTATGTAGTAACAGTTGCTCACCGTTTGCAACCATCTGACATAATGCACTGTTTCTGCATGCCTAATGTAAACGCAGCCCAAATAGTTCAAAATGAATGAAACCCTAAATCTTTGATGAGTTTTCTTCTACGTACGATTAAGGTAACTAGATGTCCCATCTTCTTCTCTCTCTCTATTTTAGTGTGCCAACTTATTCTTCAACACAGTTTTTGCATGCATTCTGTCTTTTTTTCTGGCCTTTTCTTGTGATATTCTGCTTTTTATTGGTTTAGATGTTTTTGGGTAAACTTTTCAGTTGAACCACACCATTTGGAATGTGGTTGTAATTGTCACCTCACAGCAAGAATGTCGCTGGGTCGCTGGTTCGAGCCTCGAGTTGGTGTTTCTGTTTGGAGTTTGCATGTTCTCCCTGCATTCGCGTGGGTTTCCTCTGGGTGCTCCGGTTTCCCCCACAGTCCAAAGACATGCAGTACAGGCGAATTGGGTAGGCTAAATTGTCTGTGGTATGTGAATGTATGTGTGAATGTGTGTGGATGTTTCCCAGAGATGGGATGCGGCTTGAAGGGCATCCGCTGCGTCAAACAAAGCCTGTCAAGTGTGAACTCCAGCTTAGTCTATGTAATGGCTGCAGCACTACTCTGGTTGCGCTATTATATTTACTGACATTGCCTGAAAAACAAGGCTAGAAAATGATTGGATTTTAAAAATGATTTGTACAATCTCACACTACTTTTATCACAAAAACAGTTGATAGCGAACAGCCAGCCCAAAGAATTTTAACAGATGTTCTGTAAGTAAATATTACAGCCTGCAGTATATGTTGTAGCAGACTGTTTTGTGTGACTAAACATATTTCTGTTTGCATGAATCAACAGCAAAGCCTGAATGTTCTGGACGTACGAGCCACACCTTCAGCTCTGCAGACAGCAGCTGTCAGTGATGGCTTCACGGAACAGCCCCATCACGCAGACGTCAGAGGGGTGTGACAAATCGCCTCCGTTAATTGGTCGGGGAACTTTAAGGAACAGCGCTAATAGCAAATCAGCGCTTCGAATACGTCAACGCAACTGGCAGAGGCAGAGCCAGCTACGCCGCATATTCGGACGTGAGATATTTATTGAGCTAATTACATACCCAACCGCCGTTCTCCCGGATCCAACCGTGAAGCGGCCCGTTCAGGTAGTCTGCCATCCAGACAGCAATGTTATCCACCTGCCCCGTCATCTCCTTATTCACGCATTCAGCACAAACGGTGCCCCCAAACTCGAAAAAAGCGATTATTCTGCCCCAGTTCACGCCGTCCCTGAACAGCTCATCTATGACTGCGTTGAAGCGCTGATGTGCCGTGATGGACGTGACGTGCAACTGTTTGGACATCTCCGCAAAGTCCGACTGATATAAACTCTCCAGTTCATCCCCAGCCTCCCGTAGCACGTTATGAAGAGCGCTGTATGGGTCGTGACGGGAGCTGGGAGAGACGACGCTGTTCTCCTGCCTCCCCATACTCAGTCCATTCGAGACACTGTCATGTCCATTCACTTCCCAAACGTATCCCTTCTTCCACAGCTTATGGTGGATGTAATTTTCCACTATACTGCGGTTATTATACACATTCTCCTGTGCCATATAGGCTATATATCAGTAGCCTACCACTGCGTTCTTATTTACCCTGACGCATCTTCAGCATCACTTTCTTCACATCAAAGCAATAAAGCGAATTATTTTATTAACATGTATATCGTTTAAACAGCGAACTTGCAGCGCTCGCATGAATCCTTCGGTTGTAGAAAAACGCCCACTTTCTGTTCCGAGAAGTGATGCCTGACATTAAGCAGAGGATGTGAGCATCTTCCTTAATTTCAGAATAAAAATAAAAAACACGCATTAAAAGCATAGGTAAGAAAGTCTCTGGTGTTTCGGGTGGAAATTGCGCGCGCGGTAAGACATCGTTTATCCCTGTTAGAGTCCAGAGGTGCGTGAGACGGAAGATGCAGATCACCGATGTTCGGGCGCACTTGTGAGTTTCGTCTCGCACGGAGCAGTGTGAAGAACGAATTTCTCAGTGGCGTACTGTCGAATGTAGACTTAAATGCTAAACGGATGACAGTTATGTCGCTGATTTGCTGTCTAAGTTGTGTTCACAGGCGTCTGCTAAGCGCAGTTGCTTCAGATGGAGTCAGACTGTCCCCTTCATAGCAGAGAGGTGTTTCCTGCGCTACGTCACCCATTCATGTGCTTGAGTTGAAATTAAGCTTTTATTTTAACAAAGGTTTATTTCTAAAGATTTGAAGTAAATTGCTCATTCTGCGATCAACAAACTGAGGATCTGTCTCATCTTTTTTGAAATTGTGAATGTAAATGGAAAAATGAAATGGAAAAAAATCTATTAGGTATGTTTAATGGTATAATTCCTGATGTTATGTTAAAATATGAAAATGTTATTTTAGGATAACCATTAGAATAAACATCTAAATGTTCTTATTTTTAATAATTAAATCTTATTATAGTTCAGGCTAAACACTTAAATGTAAATTTTGTAAGCCTAAACCCTCTATAGATTTTTTTGAAGATTTAAACCTTTTTATAACGTTGATTTCTAAGTCCACTAATATCTGTCATGTAATGTAATTTAATTTTTGTTCTTATAATAATAATAATAATAACTACACACACACACACACACACACACATATATATATATATATATATATATATATCCCCTTTAATGTAACTCCTCTATTTCAGTTCATATTGAACTAACCACTGACCTCAGAGGAGCTAGGATTATGTATTTTTCAAGAGTTCACACTTAGCTGATAATCAAAAAAGCGTATTTGGCATGCTGTCCCGGGAGAGAGCCCTGAGCTCGTAATATCCTCGAGCCCTGTGTTCCCTTAGAAGTGCGAGAGGGGAGTTCGAGGTCAGGTAGGTCTCGAGAACTCCCCTGCTTGTTACCGTGAGAAGTGTAAACTAAGGTTGTATTGGGTGATAATTTGTTTTAGTCGATTGGTTTGTGTTTTTGGACCGTGGGAGGAAACCGGGGAACTCGGGGGAAACCCACGCGAACAAGGGGAGAACATGCAAACTCCGCACAGAAACACCAACCGGCCCGAAAGGTTGGACCGGCGGTGTTCTTGCTGTGAGGCAACAGTGCTAGCCACTGGGTACCATGTCGCCTGATCAGAAAAAAGGGGAGGATGAAGGGGTGGAAAGGGGGGAGCTTCAAGACGAAGATAACTGGAGTGAAAAACTCGGGTTATTTATAATGCTTCCGTAATCATCTAATAGGGCTGATTACGGAGCTAATAAGGAGCCAGCCATGTGGATTATAAGCATGTGATCCTCTCGAAATTAGTTTATGAATAAACCGCACTTAAGGTTAGAGCATTTTCCTTGCAAACAAAAATTTGTATTTATATTTAATCTTTGCCTAACTCTAAAGACAGAAAAATATCCAGATGCTCTGGACTGAAATCAGCATCTGTTCAAGCAGAAGTTGGTCTTTATTCATGCATCATTTAAACTTCTTTGATCTTTCAGCACCCTTTGCAGTCACCTCACTGTAAACTATTTGGTTGGAAAGACTGAATTAAAGCAAGCATGTATGTATGTATGTATGTATGTATGTATGTATGTATGCATGTATGTATATGGCGACGCAGTGTCAAAGTAGGTAGTGCTGTCGCCTCACAGCAAGACGTTTGGAGTTTCTGTGTGGAGTTTGCACGTTCTCCCTGTGTTCACGTGGATTTCCTCTGGGTGCTCTGGTTTCCCCCACAGTCCAAAGATATGTGAAGGTGAATTGGGTAGGCTAAATTGTCCGCTGTAACGAGGAGACTGACACGGAGGGATCCATTATGCAGTATTTATTAGTCAAGCTTTCACTCAAAACACACAATATGCACTAAAGTGCACACACACATCCACAATAGTCTATGAAGTATCAAGACTGGCGATGAACAGACACAGAGGGGTTTACCAGGCATTGGTCGAGGGCAGGCTGCGAGTGTCAGAGTCCGTGTATCAGGCGTGGGTCGTGGGCAGGCAGCGAGTATCAGAGTCCGTGTATCAAGCGTGGATCGTGGGCAGGCAGAGAGTATCAGAGTCCGTAAATCAGGCGTGGGTCATGGGCAGGCAGAAGGCGAAGCAGAGTCAGAAACAGGCTGGACTAATGCACAAAGAATCAGGCAGGGAATAACGCTCAGAAATGCTGGCCGGGGCTAAACAAGACTTCGCACTGACTGAGTGTTTGGAACTGGCTTATAAAGGGTACGTGGGTCGTTAGCTTGATTCAGAACAGGTGTATGCACAATCAGCGTATGTGGATGATGTAATGCTAGAAGTCCGGAGATGGCGGCCTCTGCTGGCCAGCGAGGGGAGTGACTGGGACCGAGTCGGTGACATCCGCAGTGTATGTGTGTGTAAATGAGTGTGTATGTGTTTCCCAGAGATGGGTTGCAGCTGGAAGGGCATTTGCTGCATAAAACAAATGCTGGATAAGTTGGCGGTTCATTCCGCTGTGGTGACCCCAGATTAATAAAGGGACTAAGCCGAAAAGAAAATGAAATAATGAATGAATAATGTATAAGTCAGGTAAATGCGTATTATGCTGATTATTCAATCAATTTATAAATGATCAATACAAGACATCAAATTCTCAAATATAAATTTAAGATCAAAAGATACATATACCTGACTTCAAAATATACACTCTAAACACGGCTGGGTTGAAAACAAACCAATTTGGGTTGTTTTGGTAACCCAGTGATGGGTAAAGAAGGGACAAACTCAACGCTGGTTTACTTTAACCCAGCAAGTTGGCTTGTGTTTTTAACCTAACAGTTAAAAATTACTACACTGCTGGGTTAAATGTAACCCAAAATGGGTCAGAAATTTAATCTAGAAACTACTTCAGTAATAAAATTTTAATCATGACAAAAGATTAAAAAAAAAATGTGTCCAAATGAATATAAGACATTTTTCCCATCTGCACCTCAGCATTAACCCTTTAACTGCCTGCTCTACCAAATGGTTTGTTTTTACTGTTTTAAATAATGACTGTTAAAGTAATTTAAAAAATAAAGATGATTTAGTGTTCAAAATGTTTTACTATGAATACTTTTTTTAATAAATTGGTCTTACACTTCATATTTTCATATTTTTTTCATGGTAGATGTATTAATTCTGGTACTTTTACCAAACACACTTATCAGCCATTTGGTAGAGGTTGATATTTTGGAAATTATGGTATGTGTTAAAAAAAATGTACTGAGTGTGTGAACTAGTTACATAGGAGTTAAGAAATGCAATCCATGTTTTTTCTTGGTTGTTAAAGGGTTGAGAAAATTACTGTAAAAATTTATCAAACTGTATCACAGAAACACTGACTAAAGTCAGTAACAATGCATCAGACTGAAGTCAGACAAATTACCTTGAAAAATGCATATTTGAAATGTGAAAACTTTTCATAACATTTACATCATGCATAAATCATGAATTATAAGTAAGAATCAATTGCAATGCTATTGCAAAGTAAAGTATGTAGAAGTAATGAAAATGCATCTAAATGACTGAAGTCAGAAAAATTAACTTCAAAATAAAAAAATTGTGCACAAACATCAACATATCCTCATATAAATCATCAACTGCAATGTAAAAATAATATGTGAAAGTTATAATGAAAAGGCATCAAACAGATTAAAAAAATACAAATTTAATTATAGGAAAAAATAAGAAAACATTTTATAACTTTCCCATTATCAATTATGTGCAAACATCAATATATACTGATATATAAAGGAATCATCAGTAAGGATGATCAAGTGCAATGTAAATGAAGTTTAGAAGAAAAACCAGATGTAAAAGTAAAAATGAAACCTGAAGATGTAAGGATTTTTAAAACAAACTTAAAATGGGAAAACATTTCATAACTTTTACTTGAACAATCATGTGCAAATATCAATAGATCCTGAGATATAAAAGAGTAATCTGTAAGAGACATTTTTTACAATGTAACTGCAATGTAGAAGAAAAATATATTTAGAATAATAAAAAATGAAATGTTTTGGGAAAAAATCTGTTAAAGCAGCTTTAGGGAAATATTTTTAAAAATTACAATTTTACAGGAGGGCTAATAGTTTTATTTATTTGGTGTGATGGTAAGCATGCCTTTTATCTGTGTCAAGATAGAAGTTGGTTAGGATCCAATTACATGGTAATCTTAGATAAGGAGTATATGCAAAATACTTGAGCTGTGACTGGGGTGAAGGTTCAACCCTAAACATAACCCGAACTACAATAAAATAGTTTCAGTCAAAGCAAGTTAATTGCTGTTCATTTGAAGTTGTTTTGCTAAATAAATAAATAAATGTAAAAGAGGGTGGCGCAGTAGGTAGTGATGTCACCTCACAGCAAGAAGGTCGCTGGCTCGAGCCTCAGCTGGGTCAGTTGGCATTTCTGTGTATTGTTTGCATGTTCTCCCTGCATTTGCGTGGATTTCCTATGGGTGCTCCGGTTTCCCTTACAGTCCAAGAACATGTGGAACAGGTAAATTGGGTAGGCTAAATTGTCTATAGTGTATGAGTGTGTGTGGATGTTTCCCCGAGATGGGTTGCAGCTGGAAGGACATCCAATCCGTAAAACATGTGCTGGATAAGTTGGCGGTTCATTCCACTGTAACAACCCTGGATTAATAAAGATACTAAGCCGAAAAGAAAATGAATGAATGAACAAATGGGAAAAAAAATCACTGTTGACATGTGCTAAGCTGGTACAGACATAGAGCAAAAAGTGATTCAATAAATTATTGACACAAGAGGGCTGAATACAATTTCAAGCCAGACTTTTCAGAAATGTATCACTTTTTTACCACTTCACAATAATGAGTGTTTGTCACATTAAACCCTATTATAAAACACACGCACACATGCACACACACACACATATACACACACACACACACACACACACACACACACACACACACTTAAACAGTGAAAAATAATCTCGCATGGACTTATGTTTCAAATGTCATTTATTTCATTTTTAAGAAAATAAGACAAAGCAAAAACATCCTCTTTTTCCCAATGGCACACAAGGTGAAATTTATGCAAATTTGGCAACAAATGAATACATATAAAAAAAACAACAACACAGACATATGTATTAAATATCTAACTTGGTTTTTGTTTTTTCTTTTAAAAGTTGCTCATAAACTTTTGATGTTATTTAATAAAATACACTTCTCAAAAAATAAAGGGAAAGCTAAAATAACACATCTTCGATCTGAATGAATAAATTATGAAAGAGAGAATGAATGAATTATTCTCTTTACATAGTTGAATGAGCTGACAACAAAATCACACAAAAATTAGCAACGGAAATCAAATTTATTAACCCATGAAGATCTGAAATTTAAGTAGCAATCAAAATTAAATTGGAAAAACACACTACAGGCTGATTCAACTTTATGTAATGTCCTTAAAACAAGTCAAAATGAGGCTCAGTGTGTGTGGCCACCACGTGTCTGTTTGGCCTCCCTACAATGTGTGGGGATTCTTCTGATGAGGGATGTCCTCCCAGACCAGGACTTAAGCCATCACTAACTCCTGGACAGTCTGTGGTGTTACATTGTGTTGTTTACAAAGTGTTCCCTTTATTTTTTGAGCAGTGTATATTTTAGCTTCAGTCAATAAAAGAAAAAATAAATTTATAGCAGACATCTGTAAAAAATAAAAATAAAAAGCAAGTATCCTCATGTATTTCAATGAAATGTAAGCACATGCTTGATTTGCATAGCTTTAAGGGTTTTCTCTAATGTTAGCTTAATACTGAGTGCACAAATGACAATGTCCGTGTGTTACGGAAGAAGGTACAACCCATTTGTAAGTCCCACAATATTGACACCTACAGTCTAGATATTATGTGCTGGATGGTGTGCCTCAAGCCAATATCTTATATCAAATGAGAACATCGTCGCTTTGACTCATGCATTCTCACTTTTGAATTTTTTGGGTGTTCTTTTCAAATCGAAACATCCGCAAGTCATATACAGTCTATGTCATAGTTGGACCTGGAGGTATCAACCCTTATAGCTTTTATAGCTCAATTCAATTCAATTCGATTCATTATTTCTATACCGCTTTTACAATGTGGATTGTGTCAAAGCAGCTTAACATAGAAGATTATAGTAAATTGAAATCAGTTTTTCAGAGTTTAAGTTCAGTTTAGTTCAGTACAGTGGGATTTAATTTTTACTGCTAAAGTCCAAATACTGAATGTAATGCCTAACTACAATGGTCAGCTGTTAATATCAAGAATAAAAAAATAAATAAAAAATGACAGGGAATAGGGATTTTGTATGAGCCATCTCTACAGTCATGTGAAAAAGCCATTAAACTTCATGGTTTTCTGTTTCAGAACATAAAAAATAAATACAAAAGGGTCCTTGCAGGTCTTAAAATTTGGAAGATAAAATTGTAAGAACATCATATCTCACACTATGTCATGATTTAACAAAAATAGAGCAAAAATAGAAAATCCAAGGTGACAAACTTAGCACACCCTTTCATTCAGATGCCTGTACATCCACTTTTATCAGTTATTTCCTAAAGTAATCATTTTCTGTACACACTTATAAATCTTTCATATCATTATTGAAGAGTATTTAAAAGTTTTATTTTTTAACAGCTCTCATAGCATTTCATTCTGAAGTTTTTTTAAACTATTGCAACCTTTTTCTCTTGTTGCATGACCCATTTTTGGCTGAGCTTTAGCTCTTGAACAGGCATTGTGTAATGACACACACCTAAGTACAGGCCAACAAACTGCTAAAACTTCTGCTTATAATGCTTTTTTTAGACAAGGCTTTTTCACATGACAGTATGTGCATATACATTTAAGTGAAAACACAGCCTTTTAAAAAATAAAATATTATAAATGTAGTCACTATGTTATACAGATATTTATTTGGATTACTTAGTTTTGGATTGGCATTGACTAATCTAAAATATATGCACAAATATTTTATTTTAAATCATTATATAGAAAATCTTAATTTAAAAGAGAGATCTGTGAGGGGTGTACTCCTTATATATGTCAGAATTATTAGCCCCCCTGTCTATTTTTCCTCCCAATTTGTGTTTAACAGTTTTTTTTCAACACATTTCTAAACATAATAGTTTTAATAACTATTTGTTTTATCTTCGTTATGATGACAGTACATAATATTTTACCAGACATTTTTCAAGACACTTCTAAACAGCTTAAGCTGTTAAAGGCTCTTGCTCTGTTAAACATCATTTGGGAAATATTTAAAAAAAAGAAAAAGAAATTCAAAGGAGGTCTAATAATTCTGACTTCAACTGTATATATATATATATATATATATATATATATATATATATATATATATATATATATATATATATATATATATTTATATATATATATATATATAGGTCATCTTGGGATTATAAGGTTCTAGATTGGAACGATTACAAAATATGAAAAAGTAATCGAGCAAACTATATTTCACTACGTCAAGGATTTTTTTCTTTTTCTTTACATCAGTCTATTCAAAACCTGTTCCATAAGAGTGGAATATAAGAGTGTATATTTCAGTAATATTATTATAACAATTAAACTTCTTTAGAAAATAGAAAAAATTAATAAATAAAAAACACATCTGATCATGGACCACTTTTACGCTCCTTTTTTTCTTCAGGGTTTTGCTGTCCTCATTCAATTTTATTGTATGTGGGAAGAGTAGCATAAACATTTGACTGAACTTATCCCTTTTGTGTTATAAAACTGAAAATTATACAGGTTTGGAACAACATGAAGGTGAATAAACAATGACATGTAAAATTGTGAAAGGTGACATCAGATTGACCCCTTTCAAATTGACCACTGCTTTCAGGCATTAAAGAGATGGACTCTGCATAAACATGCGCTCGAATAACCATAGGGTGTGATCACATCACATGCTCTCTGTTTGCTTGTGACAGTAAAGACTGTAACAGCATGAAAATGTCATTTTCTCTCTAGCTAGTCCATCGTCAATAAAATTTAGAAGCAAATTTAGAAGGCCTAAATCAGAAAACATTTTGAATGTTAACCATCCATTTCACATTTTGACAGAGCAAAGCACGAGGTGATTCACTTCACTTGTGGAGGCTACATTGCCTATTTTGGTGTACAAACAGATTAAGCTTTACAACATCTACAATACTTGAAACAAATGAGTAAACAATCAATGCATTCTTTAATAACAGAGCTCTGGGGTTGTGGACATTAAACCACTCAGGTCTAACTATGATTATTCAAACATGAGCTGCTTGGATCTCCAGGTCCATCTGTTGGCAGACAGGTGCAGTGACTCGACCAGCGAGCCATCAAAACCACATTGGCTTATCCAGACCCATCTTTCAGTTCAGTGAACTCTACAAGACCCTGAGGTCACCTAAACTCATGCGTACAAGCAGACAATAGAATTACACTCACACACACGCATTTACAAGGTAAACATTTCCTTCCGAAATCCTCAGCCAGAGCAAAGAGATAAGGCAAAGTGGCAGACTCAGGCAGTTTCATCCAAAAAATAAAAAAACTAAACAATATACACACAAAACAAGACAAACACACACACACACCGATTTTCTGTGTCCATACCTTAAAACTAGGAAGTCTAAAAGCAGGGAGATACAGTGCTAGGCTACAAACATCACATCACAGCTCTTCACCTCAATGGAACGTAAGGGAATTTGGAATTCTTGACAAATAGAGAGGATTCCAAGCTTTATGGCATTAATATAAATAACTGCTAATTGAAATTACATCTAGTTTTGAAATTAAATTGTGCCAACAGGTTGAAGCAAGAAGCATTTGTGGATGCACGCTTGAGAACAACACAGATTTTGAAATACGAGAATGCACATAAGGCAGTGAGAGCTAAAGAGTAAATATGTCTTAAGGAGCTTGAAATACTGATGAAAATTATGAGGATCCTGAAATACACATCATGAAAAATATACTGGAAAAAAATAGCAGAAACTTTGTCGCTGAAGTGCATGACATTGTAAACCCACTGAAAAATGTCTTGCAGGTGGTGTGTGGAGGCATGTGTGTAAATGTAGTGTTGGCAATAGAGGTGGATGGGTGGGGGGAATGCTGGTGCTACTCCCTCTTGTCAGCTGCTTTGCACTGTTCTCGCTGGATCATACAACGGCGGACGATGCTGTCAAAGCTGCCCAGATAGAAGAGAGCAATGGTACGGAACAGGCCCATGGTCACAATCTGTACAGGGTGAGATAACAGAATCATTGTAACATTTCACTACAAAATAAATTATTATTTACTTACATACAGTGCATCCAGAAAGTATCCACAATACTTCTCCACATTTATCCATGTTTTGCCATGTTACAGCATTATTCCAAAATGTAATAAATTCCCTGTTTTCCTAACAATTTTCTAGTCTGGGCTCTGGCTGGGTAACACAAGGACATTCACAGAGTTGTCCCACTCCTTGTTATCTTGGCTATGTGCTTGGGATTGATGTCCTGTTGAAAGACTGCTGAGGTCCAGTTTTTTTTTTTAATCAAGGATTCTCCCCGTGCCGTTCCTGCCACTGAAAAACATCTCTTAAGCAAGCTACCTATGATGCGCCAGAGTGGACAAAAGTCAAGCAAATGCAGAAAGACTGAATGTACGCGAGAGAAACCTAGTATGGCGCGCATGAAAGACCAAATGCACACGAGAGAGACCCGAGTACACGCGAGAGAGAGCGAGTTGTAAGCGAGAGAGACAGAGTGCTGACACGCAGGAGAGACAGAGAAACATAATACATTACTGTTATTGTTATTATTGCTAATAAGTTGTTTTTATATGTTCTCTGTGATGTAAACACTTGTAACATTAAACACCTTACATTTGTCATGCCAATAGAGCAGTTTGAATTGATTTTTTTTTTTTTTTTTTTGAGTGAGAGATAGTTACTTAATATAAAGCGAGACAAAAAACATTTTACCTAAAAACTATTTATAATGTTGCACCTTATTTGTCATCAGAAATGTATTTATTAAATAAATAATCCCCTTGGTCGCCCTCCTGTCCCTGACATAAGTGAAATGCTGGTGTGACTTGGGTTAGAGGATATTTTCCACTTGAAACAACATTTCTAACAAGCTGTAATTTAGGTCCGATATTGATAATGTAATGTGACCTTCCTATAAATATAGAGTATGTTTAATTAATATTGACAAACTGATACTATCATATTTTTTACTTAAAATTACAAACCTAAATTTACCTTTGAGTGTCTCAAATGGTCTAACATCCTGGGAAGAATAGTGAATGTTCCTCCAACAGCCTGTGGCAGTACTCCATGCTGTTAAAATGTTGTGATGCCATACTGCCATTCATTCTTCATATAGTGTCACACATAGGCATTAGCTGGTATAAGATTCTGGAGGTCTAATAACCTTGGATTAAAATATCACGGTTTCACTGTATTGCGATTACTGCTCCAATGTTTATTTTTGAATGTCTGGGTAACAACAAAAACTTTGTCTCTTTTGAATACAATATATCAAATTTTGAGAAACATTTTATATATATATATATATATATATATATATATATATATATATATATATATATATATATATATATATATATATATATATATATATTGGAGCAGTAAACAAAATAATTAAAAATAAATAATTAAAATAAATCATTGACTTCTGCTGTCTTCATTTGTTTCAAAAACTAATTTCCTGATTTCCTTACAATTTAAAATGGCATCTTGGATTATCTTTTCTGATGGAAATACTGTTGTCCTAAAAAAACAAACAAATTTACTCACAGATCTCTCTTTTAAATTAAGATTTTCTATATGATGATTTAAAATAAAATATTTGTGCATATATTTTAGATTAGTCAAAGCCAATCCAAAACTAACTAATCCAAATTAATATGTGTATAATGTGTGTTTGCAGGGGCATTACTGATGTTTTTACTGGTCTGCTCTCTTTTTTTTGTGTGACAGGCATTAATGTATTGTGCCGCTAGAAGAACGCAGTCAGCTTTTTTCCCCTAGTAAATATTGAAGCTGTGTTTTATTGTCTTACTCAGTGAATTGTGGGTAAATGCTCTGTAGTTTGAGGTACAATGTTTCTCTGACGTGCTTATAGTTTGTGCAGCGGGTGAAGAAGTGTTCTTCCATCTCCACCTCTCCCTGGGCATAGTGTGGGCAGATGCGGCTCTCTCTGGGTTGCCAGTTCTGTCTGTATCGGCACGTTTCTACAGTCAGACTGTGAGCGCTCAGCCTGTATTTGGTCATTGTTGTTCTTAATTTACTGTCCTTTACTGCACTCAGATATGTTGCTGTGCTATAATCTCTGTTTAGGTCTAAATAACATTGAAGTTTACCAGCTGCTTCATTCCAGTAAATCAGATACTCTACTTTTCATGCATTTGTTATTTGATTGGCCTTAAGTTTGTGGATGAGCATTTCTGTATCCTGATGCTGCCTTTGCAGCTTCAGGACCATCTGAATCAGAGGGCTTTTTTCAATGTCCATTTCTCATTTTTATATGTTTCCAATGTTGGACGGTTCGTTTCTCAATGCGCATGAGTAAAGGATACTGGCCTAATTCTGCTCTGCATGCATTGCTGAGTGTGTTCCTCTGTACCCTGAGGATGCTCCTACAGAACTCTGCATGTAGGCTTTTAATTGGAATTTTATACCACTTATCAAACTCATGACTAGGCGACACAGAATCTGCGCGTGCAGGCTGTGTCGCGGGGGCACTTTTCATCATTTTGGAAGGGCACTTTCTATCCAAGACTAAAAAGGGCAGGTTGAGCCCTATGTGTGCACGTGCCTGTCTTGCATTCAGTCTCTCTCGTGGGCAAACTGACTCTCAGCAGTCCATCACCTCAGTAACCCAGAACAACAGCCAGTCACGAGCGTGTGAATCCCGAAGATGTCATCATAATGAGTCACCAGCCAATCAGGACCACCGTGTTTCCCTGAGGCCAGCCGGTGAGGGAAAATTGACTTCAGCAATTTTGCAAGTAACAAACAAACAATGTCTCTTGCTAATGTGATGCAGATTAATCTTAAGTAGTTAAATAAAAGACAAATCTCTGCTTTTGTGGTTTCTCAGGTGTTATTTTAAGACCTTGTAAGAAGTATTAGAATTAATTTGGCATGGTTGTCAACTAATTTTTGCATCCTCTGAACTGCCTCTATGTATGTACGTGTGTATGTGTGTGTGTGTGTGTGTGTAAGTGTGCGCGTTTGTACGTTGTTTGCTTATTACGGAGTTAGTTTCATGTATGGTAGCGTAACTCAATAAATATTTGTTCTGATTTTGTAAGAACTGTGTTCCTGTTTATGTGCTTCTAAGTCATTGCCTCAAGCTGTAGATCTTGTTACCTTGCTAAAAGTTAACCCAATAATGTGTTCTGTTATTATCGTTGGCCACGGAAATAATATAAACAAGATTGGTAGGATACAATGTCTTCTTTTGATTTAGATTTTTTTTATCTTTGTCATGATTTATGCATTGAACTTGGATTCACACAAAACCTATTGAAGCATTTCAAAACATTTCATGGGGTTAGATGCAAATAATCTGTCAGAGAGATCCAGGTCCTAAAAAGTCTATTTCTGTAAATACTGTAACTTGATGTCAAGACCTAGATGTTTGAAACCCAGTTCCTCCCTTGCCATCCAACGCCACACCTCCTGAAATCATGAACGTGCACATTAAAGATGACAGAGACCTACTAGATCATGTCATTCACCGAAGTTTTATAGTATTTTATAATACTACAAGTCTGTTAGCAAGCAAAACTTGTCATAATGTGCAATATTTCATGCATGCAAGGATGGCTGGTGTTTCTCTCTCCCATGCTTTGTCCTAAATCGACTACTCTATGCTTACTCAGAAAGCAAAATACATTCGGGCCAGTTCTGATTAGATTCTTGCCTGCCAGAGACTATAGTGTTTGGCCAGGGGGTACAGGAATGACACATATTACTAAGCCCTATTTACATGCAATTTCAGAAAGAAAGGAACTTTTTTTAGGTTGAAGGTGACTACACCATTTATAATAAATGAGCCTAATTAACTTGCATCAAGAATGTTACATTTTAAACTTATTATTATTGACATTTTTTTCTACTGAGATGATCAGTGTATTTGCAAGAATTGTCTTGTTAATACTGATTTTATTCAACAGCTTCTGCTGTTTTTTGAAAATAAATGTTAAATGAAAGTTAAATGAACCGACACCTGTGGTTTTTACTAGTCATCATACAATTTAATTATGCATAATTAAGACTGTAGTTTAAGTAAACTTTATTAGCATCATTCCTCAGAGTGCAGTTTCAGGTGAGTTAATAAGTAACCTAAGTAAATGTGACTCAATATGAGCAAGAATTACTTTTACAACATTAGAAAATAATATGTAATTATAATTTAGATGACTTGATTGACACAAGTAAATGTGACTCGGTACAAGTAGAAACCACTTTTTCTGCATTAGTAAATAGTACTTAAAGCAATAAGGTAACGATTACATAATTGAACTAAGGCAACGAGTTTGCATAATTCAGTTAAGTAAACTTGTTGGTGGAGCACTGCAGTGTTCGTCTGGTAGTTTCTCTTCTCGCCAGAGAAAAATTTTGGAGCAATATCAGAGTAACCATAGGGTTCTAAGTCACCTCCCGGGCTAGTCTCCTTCTTGATCACTAATTTTGTGTGCGCAGCCCTTTTTTAGATGTGACTTGGAGGTTGGCAACTTCATCTATTTATGTATAGAGGTCACTGTTCTCATTTGATCCTTCAATGCTGCAGAAACTTTTCTGTACCCTTCCCGAGATCTGTGCCTCAATATTATCCTGTCTACAAACAATTCCTTGGACTTTGTGAATTGATTTGTGCTCTAACATGCACTATTAACTGTGGGACTTTATGGGACCATTTGCACCATTCAAAATCATGTAGAATCAACACAGCAAAAATTATTTTCTTACTCAAGAGTTTTGTCTCGTCTCTAGTCAAAGTTTCCAAAAAATCCTAAATCAAAAAACATTTTCTAGACCAGTTTAAAACATTGCCCTATCATACACCCGGCGCAATGTGGCGCAAGGCAATTGCTATTTGGTACTTTCAGCTCGGCGCAAGGGTCATTTCGAGGCATTGCGCCACACTGTTTAAATAGCAAATGCATTTGCACTCATATGTGCGCCCATAGACGCGTTGCTATTTTGAAAAACT